ACCTCTGATAATAGCCTTTATTGATGACCTCTTTTCCTCATTTAGGTGCTACTGTCACCTCAGCTGGGGATCTGCTCTCCTACCATACATCTGTCATGTAATACTTAGTTTTATTGGGAAGATCAGCATGGTAGCCCCAGGGCTAGTCCATGGTTCACTGTTTAGGACACTTGGAGGCAGAGATGTTTATACTGATGATTATTCTTACTTGGACTCCCTGTATTATCCATGCTGATCACAAGTAAAGCTGGTTTTACTCTTGAGATCCATCTTGCTGAATGGTACTGAAATGACTTTTATCAATTAACAATCTTAAACACTATGCCCTCAGGAGAATCAATATTCAAAATGTGCTGGGATGTCAGCAAGCCTCGCAGCTCTATCCATTCAATATACATGCAGTTTGGGTGTCATTAATATGATGAGTGTTAATAGATTTGAGGGAAATGACCATGGTTAACAAAGACGACTGTGTTTTGGCGAGAAACGTTCCATATTGAACTGCTGTATTCAAGTGATATCTAGGGGCCAGACTCTCAACTAGTGAAGAGAACAGTGAGTTTCTACAAAAAAGATGTACAGAGAGAGGATTCTCCTTTTTCTGTATCAGGTAGATTGGGCTTCATTCTAGGAAGATCTGAAAGATCCTAATTAAAATACTTCACTATCAGTTTGGCTCCCTGCCCTCCTCAAGGAACTCCCAAAAGTTAATGTCGCTGCTCTTCTCTCAGGATTTTCAGGAATTCAAAATATCATTGGTAGTATGTTCCAACTGTAGTTGCACTTCCATTATTTTGGCTCTTTTTTTTAAATCTGACTGCAGAGCATATAGCTAGCACTCTCCATAGATATTCTTAGCATCTCTTTTCCCTGAGAACTAAACTTTGTTCCTGCCTTGTAACTCACAGGAGAGAAGTAAATATGTGGCCCAGCACTTAAGGGCTGTAACAGCTCTGTAACAATCTGAATTCCAAAACTTTTAAGCCAGATGACCTCTCTGGAGTCCCAGCTCTGTAGGCTAGTGCCTTTTGATGAGGGACAAAGACTAAAACCACCATCTGCATCAATTCCCTTAAGCACATAGAACATCTTTCATCCCATCTATGTTAAACAGCCTTTGTGTTTCATCCACTCCATGGTGCTGGTTAAGAAAAAAAAAAAGATACGGGCTATGGGACACGTTAATAAAAAACATGTGAAGGCTTCATCCATCTAACTTAGTGAAAGCAGGAGCTATAGTTCCTTGTAACTATTAAGCATATCACACATCTGCTAGCAAATAATACTGAATGTAGGGCTACAATTGCTGTCCTGGGCAAGAGTCACCTTGTTGCCCCCAAAGAAAAGGGAAGGGGAGGAATTCCTGGGAAAGAAAGCTCTTGGAAGGCCATTCACTCTGTATTGGTATTATGAACCTTACTTTCCTCTCCTCCTCATGCTCTGGTTCTTCGATGTGAGCAGTTAAGGAGGCCCAGGAGAAGTTAATGCTGCTTCACAAAAAAACCCTCCAAACAAATCCCAGTGGATTTCTCATTTGAAAGCTGGATGGACAGCAGGGTTTGACTGGGAGCGTATTTGTATTACCATCAGATCTCTTCAGGAAGTAAAAAGAGCATCTGGGCATCTTAAAGGGTGCAGGAAACTACAGAGTAGAGAAAACAAAACTACTTTGGGTCCCCTAACCTTCTACAGAGAAGGTGGAGAAACACACTGAGCCTAATTTTGCAGCACTTTCTCTCCTGTGTTCTAAGTCAAATCTGTCAGAGTGCAGGATGGACAAGAGAAGTTACACAGACTATTGTCTAGCTTAAATAAGAGCATTGTTGTGTTCCCTGTGCATCTGATGCTTTCCTCAAAGGAGAGCAGCACAGTCAGGTTGTTGGTCTATGCAGAATGCTATGGCTTTCTCCCTACAGCTACAGCATGCCATTAGGTACTGAAATGACACCCTCTAGGCCTATTTAAGTTATGTGCAAAGCCGCTTGAGACATTTGCATAAAACTTCCAATATACAAACAACCTTTGCTGAACTCTCTGTTCTGGAATAGATAGTATATTCTTTCCAGTCCCTGTGAAATCATTTTTGATGTTGTAGAAAAAACATCAGTAAAGCAAATAGCAGTTACAATATGTCAGTTTTTCTCCCAGAGCTGAGCTTTAAATGTCTGCCCAGCAATCTTAAGCATTTGAGCTATGAGTATGATAAATTTCTCTTATTAAGAGCCAAAATCCATTCCTGGAGTAATTGCAATGGTGTTGAACTAGGGATGAATTCTCAGTGTGCTTGCATGTATTACTGACACACTGTCTGCAAATCTGCTTTTCTGTTTCATGATGGCTTGTTGCAGGAAACACTCTGTATGCTTGGAGATATCATGTAAGCCTGTATTATTCTTTTCTCTCTTGGAGTTTCAAGCTCTGTCATCAAAACCTAAAAGCTGACTCTGTCCAAAAAAAAAGATAAAATAGCTCATAATGAATAAACAGTATGAGCAAAAGATTTTCTAAACATGTCACAAAATGACAGGAAAGTAAGTGGGTGGGAAGATCCTGCAGTAATCTTGCACAGTGACTCAGCCCCAATACGTGTTTCTGTGGTCCAGTTACCAGGAGAAGAATGCTTTGAGCGCTGTCATTCCCATCAGATCCACAAGTGAGGTGACAGCATGAGTCACCTCTGCTGTGCACCATCTGGACTGAGGGGGAGCAGGGCAAGGAAACAGAGAGGAGACCTCCCATTCAGCTGTGCCCTGGCAGGTCTTGGAGGCTGTGGAAGATAATGGCAGGCAGGGCTTGAAAAAGAAACATTCTGTACTGCACACAGAAGTGTTTCGTTTCAATAGAAATTATTCCTTAACAGTTATTTTTCTATCTTCTTTTTCAGCTGAGGAAAGAAAACCAAATTCCCTAGTGTAAGACCTAGGTACCACCTAGAGCCATGGATGAAAAAAAGGAAATAATTAAAGGCAGTAGGAAAATCACTAAATGCTCACTTTAATGGTCAGCCAAAGAAAGAGATGGCCAACAAATTTGTCAGGTGCTTAAGATTTGAGAGTAAGAACTGCTAATAACAGCTACATAAGCATCAAGTATCTTTTTCATTGGTTTCAAGACAAGCAGAGCAGTTCAGTGTGTCTAGAGAGCTGCTGCCTTTGCTGAACCAAGCTGCTAGACGTAGATCTGTGCTTCCTCTATCATGTCTATAGGAGGACGTCTGAGATTCTTTTGTTTTCTGTTACTGCATTAAAGTGCTTAAGTTAAAAAATGAATGTAGAGTGGGTTTTTTGGTTTCCTTCCCTCTCTTCCAAGAGGGTTTGCAGGCACTTTGGTTATTTTTAGTTCTGTTTTAATATATTGCTGTCCCAGAAGTAAAATGCTTGTAATTGTTAAGAGTTTATGAAGACTCTGATAGTGCCAGTTTAGCAGATGGCCTAAGAATCAAATGTCATGCTAAGTCACGAGTTCACATGATTAAGTATATCTGGAGAAGGTCTCAATATAGGGTTAAGAGGATAACCTTCTTGGTGATGTCACCAATGAATATGCTGAGCACCAGCCAAGATCAGCCAGTAGTGATCGAGAAATTTGGGTGATTGAAGT